TTTCGCTCTTGTTACCCAGGCTGGAGTGCAATGGCGCGATCTCGGCTCACCGCAACCTCTGCCTCCTGGGTTCAGGCAATTCTCCTGCCTCAGCCTCCTGAGTAGCTGGGATTACAGGCACACGCCACCATGCCCAGCTGATTTTTTGTATTTTTAGTAGAGACAGGGTTTCACCATGACCAGGATGGTCTCGATCTCTTGACCTCGTCATCCACCCGCCTCAGCCTCCCGAAGTACTGGGATTACAGGCGTGAGCCACCGCACCCGGCCCTGTTGTTTGTTTTTTTCAGTTGAGTCCAGGTCTCACTGTGTGGGCCAGGCTGGTCTTGAACTCCTAGCCTCAAGTGATCCTCCTGCCTCTGCCTCCCAAAATGCTAGGATTACAGGCATGAGCCACCGCCTCTGGCCATTCACTGTTTAAAAGTGTACCAGTCATAATCAGAATTGGTTATGTGACCATCACCAATCTCTCATTCCAGAACATTCCACTATCACCCTCCCCCAAAAAAACCTGGTCCCCATTTTAGCAATGCCTTTCCATTTTCCCCTCTTCCAGTCCCCAGCACCCAGGAATCTGCTTTCTGTCCCTGTGGACGGGCCTGTCCTGGACATTTCATAGAAGTGGATCACACGCTGTGTGGCCTTGCGTGTCTGGCTTCTGTCACTGGGAGTGAAGTCCTCAAGGTGCATCCACGCTTGTGTGTGAGCCTCTCTCCTTTTATGGCTAGAGAATATTCCATTGTTTGGACGGATCTCATTGTGTTTATTCATTCGCCCATTAATGGACATGTGGACACTTGGGTTCCTTCCACTTGCGGGCTACGCTGGGTCGTGCTGCTGTAAAGTGCCACGTGCGAATCAAGTGTTTGCCTGGCGCATGCTTGCATTTCTCTCGGGTAGATCCCCCAGAATGACATTGCTGGGTCCTATGGTAACTTCATGTTTAGATGTCTGGGGAGCCGTCAGACTGTTTTGTTTTGTTTTAATTTTTGAGACAGAGTCTCGCTCTGTCGCCCAGGGTGGAGTATGATGGCAAGACCTTGACTCACTGCAACCTTCACCTCCCAGGTTCAAACGATCCTCCTGCCTCAGCCTCCAGAGTAGCTGGGATTACAGGTGCGCACCACCACACCCAGCTAATTTTTTTTTTATTTTTAGTAGAGACGGGCTTTTATCATGGTGGCCAGGTTGGTCTCCAGCTCCTGACCTCAAGTGATCTGCCCACCTCAGCCTCCCATAGTGCTGGGATTACAGGCATGAGCCACTGCACTGGCCATTTTTTTTTTTTTTCTTTTGAGACAGGGTCTTGCTCTGTTGCCCAGGCTGGAGTGCAGTGGTGTGATCACAGCTCACTGCAGCCTCAGCCTCCTGGGTTCAAGCGATCTTCCCCCTCTCAGCCTCCCGAGCAGCTGGGACCACAGGCTTGCACCACTACGCCCGGTGAATTTTTTTAAAAAATTTGTAGATAGGATCTCGCTATGTTGCCCAGGCTGGTCCTGAACTCCGCAGTTCAAGCAATCCTCCCTGCTTGGCCTCCCAAAGTGTTGGGATTACAGGCCTGAGCTACCTGGCTCTGTCCAGATGATTTTGTAATGAGGAGGCAGCCTCATTACAAAAAAATTGGGGTCGAGAAGGCCAGGGCCCCAGCAAGGCAGGGATGGCATCTCTTTTGATGCCTGCTGTATCCCTGGTGCCTTTTCAGTCTCTTTTGCAAAACAGGCAACCTGCCCGGTGCCAGGTGGATATGATGAATAGGCACATGTCGCTGGCTCAGGACACTGGGGTCGGGCCACAAGCTTCTGCCCCAGGACAGCTGATGCTCCAGACATGCTCGCTGAGCCCCTGAATGAGTCACACCTGAATCCCAGACCCTGTAGCTCGCTGGCTGTGTGTGCATGTGACCATAGCAGGGTGCTGTGGCATTTGGAGGGCGATGCCCCTAGGCCTCAGGCAGTCCCTGGGAAGGTCCCTGCCCTGTAAGGGGTGATGTGGCCGCCACACCGCCTCCTGCAGGAAGGAAGACCCAGGTTTATTTTGGGCCTCGGCCCATTCCCCTGGGAGAGCGGTCATCCCCCTGTCTGGCTGCCTGGATGGGAGGTTTCTGGCAGAACAATGGGTCAGGGCGGAGGAAGGGGAAGGCCGGGCAGCTGGGCCGCCCCAGGTGTCAGCAGGTCCCGGGGCTGCCCCTTGGTCTTAGGAATGTCAGGGCCCGGATGGAGGTCACAGCTGCCGGCACCCTCCCCTCTTCCTGTTGGCCTTGCAGGGGTGGGGGTTGCTTTTGGGAGCCCAGGCCCTTCCTGAAGCTGTAAACAGGCCCGACTCCCCTCCTGAATCACCTTCTCCAGCCTCAGGACTCACAGATGGGAAAGTCAAGGCCCAGAGAGGGGCACACCCCTGCCTGGGGTCACACAGCTCCTGAAATGAGCAGAAAGAGGTGGGCTCCCGCGCTGCTGGGGTCCAGCGGCCTCATCTTAGAGAGAGGACTTTTCCTCTTAGAGCCCCCGTGGCTTGTTCATCTATGAACTGGGGAGGCTGGACCGAGGGGCTCGGGAGTTCCCTCTTGAAATCTGCAGACATGCTTTTTTTTTTTTTTTTTTGAGATAGAGTTTCGCTGTGTTGCCCAGGCTGGAGTCCAGTGGCGCGATCTCAGCTGACTGCAAATTCCACTTGCTGGGTTCAAATGATTCTCCTGCCTCAGATCCCCAAGTAGCTGGGACTACAGGCGCCCACCACCATGCCTGGCTAATTTTTGTATTTTTAGCAGAGATGGGGTTTCATCACGTCTCCCAGGCTGGTCTTGAACTCCTGACCTCAACTGATTCTCCCACCTCGGCCTCCCAAAGTGTGGGATTACAGGTGTGAGCCACCACGCCCGGCCATGTGTCGCCTCTTTTTTTGCACAGGGACTCTCACTGAGCTAGAACTCGGTCTGTGAGTTCACAGAGCTGAGGCGGGCATGGAGGGGCGGAACTCCAGACAGTGGCTGCAGCCTCTCGTCCAGAGGAAGCTCACAGCTTGGGAGACATTGGGAATTGGTCACCGGCTTCTGCCCCAAGACAAAGCTAGTTCCGACCTTCCCGTATTTCAGATGAGGAAATCTGAGGCACGTCACTGTTAAGTTGCTTGCTGCAGAGGCCAGAGCTGGGAGCAGGCCCTAAATACCAGGGTTCTCCTCTAAGACTCAGGGCCAGTTGAGGGCGTCAGGTGGGGAAGGCAGAGGGAGTTGGGGTTAAAGGGTGTTGGGAGCCAGCAGTCACTGCATTGCTGTGTGGCCCTGCAGAAGTGGCTCAGCCTCTCTGGGCCTTTGTGGTCTCTTCTGCAAAACAGCCAACCTGCCCAGTACCTAGTGTGGATGGCCACATGGGCACATGTCACTGGCTAGGGCCTGCCATGCAGCGTGAGTCAACAGCACTCCTCTTCTGGCGCAGGCTGTGCAGAGCCAGCGTCTGGTGACCAAGGTCAGGGGGCAGGGGCAGCCCCTCCAGTAACTCCCGTGCCTGCCCTGACCTCAGAGGGCAACCGAGGGTTTGGAACTTCTTCCAGAGTCTGAACTCACAAAGACCGGCTTTGTGGGGGCTCCCAGGGTAGGTGCGTGCCTACATGGCATTCCGAGGCTGGCGGCCTGGTGCTGGGGCGGGAGCGGAGGCTGAGCAGAGCCTGGGGCAGTGCGAGACACCAGGGCGGGTCTCAGGCCCTCCCTCCTCCCTGTTCTTCCACACTCCCCTCTTCATTCGGCAGATGTTTCTGGACTCTGCAGGGACACTGTGGATAAGGAACTGGGCCCATGACCTCCCCTGCGGCCTGGGGTGAGGCAGAGCAGTGGGGGTGCACAGCTGGGAGCAGAGGAGCAGTGGGGCTGCCTGGGGCACCTGCACTCAGAGGAGCCAGAGACTTGGAGGCCAAAGTGATGGGGATGTATAGGGGTTCACCAGGGAAGAGGCAGGGGCTCACGGAGCCGTGGGGTGAGGGGGGAGTGTTGAGCTGGACCTAGTGGGGGTGGAACGGGACCCCCCATAATAATCACCTTGAGCCCCTTCTCAATTCATAGCAAGGTATGGTGGGTTTGAGGGCTGGCGTCAGGCCCTACAGATAGCACAGTTCAAAAGGGCCTTCCCTGTCTATAATAATAAAAAATAAAATTTTTGACTTTTTTGTAGCGATAGGGTCTTGCTATGTTGCCCAGGTTGGTGTCGAGCTCCTGGGCTCAAGCAATCCTCCCGCTTCAACCTCCCAGAGCACTGGGATTACAGGCATGAACCACGGAGTCCAGCATGACTTTTTTTTGTTTGTCTTTTGAGCCGGAGTCTTGCTCTTTTTGCCCAGGCTGGAATGCAATGGCACAGTCTCAGCTCACTGCAACCTCTGCCTCTCAGGTTCAAGTAATTCTCTTGTCTCAGTCTCCCAAGTGGCTGGGATTACAGGCGCATGACACCACGGCCAGCTAACTTTTGTATTTTTAGTAGAGACGGGGTTTCACCATGTTGGCCAGGCTGGTCTCGAACTCCTGACCTCAGGCGATCTGCCCACCTTGGCTTCCCAAAGTGCTGGGATTACCAGCGTGAGCTACTGTGCCCAGCATGAGACTTTTTTTTTTTTTTTTTTTTTGGAGACGGAGTCTCACTCTGTCCCCAGGCTGGAGTGCAGTGGTACAATCTTGGCTCACTGCAACCTCTGCCTCCCAGGTTCAAGTGACTCTTTTGCCTCAGCCTCTTGAGTAGCTGGGATTATAGCCAGGTGCCACCACACCCAGCTAATTTTTGTATTTTTAGTAGAGACAGGGATTCACCATGTTGGCCAGGCTGGTCTCGATCTCTTGACCTCGTGATCCGCCCGCCTTGGCCTCCCAAAGTGCTGAGATCACAGGTGTGAGCCACCACACCCGGCTGGCACTTTCATTAAGAAACGAATTCCGTAGGCCCCCTGGGGTCTGTGGTGTCGTCACCTCTTCCAGGTGAGTGTCGCAGCCTGTGAAACTGATGGCCAGTCTGTGTCCCTCGCAGGCCATGGACAGCTTCAGCACCAAGAGCCTGGCGCTGCAGGCGCAGAAGAAGCTCCTGAGTAAGATGGCGTCCAAGGCAGTGGTGGCTGTGCTGGTGGATGACACCAGCAGCGAGGTTCTGGATGAGCTCTACCGAGCCACCAAGGAGTTCACGCGCAGCCGCAAGGAGGCCCAGAAGATGCTCAAGAACCTGGTGAAGGTGGCCCTGAAGCTGGGGCTGCTGCTGCGCGGGGACCAGCTGGGCGAGGAGGAACTGGCGCTGCTGCAGCGCTTCCGCCACCGGGCGCGCTGCCTGGCCATGACGGCCGTCAGCTTCCACCAGGTGGACTTCACCTTCGACCGGCGCGTGCTGGCCGCCGGGCTGCTGGAGTGCCGCGACCTGCTGCACCAGGCCGTGGGCCCGCACCTCACCGCCAAGTCCCACGGCCGCATCAACCACGTCTTCGGCCACCTGGCCGACTGCGACTTCCTGGCCGCGCTCTACGGCCCCGCCGAGCCCTACCGCTCCCACCTGCGCAGGATCTGCGAGGGCCTGGGCCGGATGCTGGACGAGGGCAGCCTCTGAGCCCCCCAGGGGCCGCCCGACCGCGCCCCTCACGCCCGCTGGGGCTCCTCTGCTGGGCGTGGGGTGCGGGTGGGGTTTGTGGGTTTTTTCCCCCCGCCTCTTTTCTCCCAGTCGGACTCGGGCCAGACTCCCCCAGGCAGGTGGGTGACCTGTCCCCTTTGAGAGGACGCGGAGCCATCTGTAGCAGCAGTTTCAAACGCCGATGTCACCTCTCCTCCCGCCCCCGCTCCCCCAATGGGGAGAGGAATTCGCGGCGCCACTCTGCGGACCACTGCCTCGCCAGGGCCCACCTTCCACTTCTGTTTGTATTTCCTGGGCCATGCCGACCCCGGGTCACTTGACCTAAGCCAAAAGCTGCCGCTTCCCACTTGATGACGTCGCCTGCGGTTTTCATCCCTCGCCCACGGACTGGGAGTTCACGTGGCGAACTGGGGGAAGGCGTGTTAGGGGGCAAGCTGTGGTCCCCCAGAATCCATAAATTCATGTCCTAACCCCGGGACCTCAGAAGATGGTCTGATTTGGAAAAGGGTCACTATGGCTAGAATGAGTTCAGATGATGCCATCTTGGAGTAGGGCCATCCCGATTCACTGACTGGTGTCCTTAAAAAAGGGGGATTGGATCTGAGTCACAGCACAAAAAAAAAAAAAGGAGGCGGGGAACTGGGCCAAGTACGGTAGGTCACGCCTATAATCCCAGCACTTTGGGAGGCCGAGGCGGGTGGATCACCTGAGGTTGGAAGTTCGAGACCAGACTGACCAACATGGAAGAAACCTTGTCTCTACTAAAAATACAAACATTAGCCGGGTATGGTGGCGGGCGCCTGTAATTCCAGCTACTCGAGAGGCTGAGGCAGGAGCATCACTTGAACCCAGGAGGCAGAGGTTGCAGTGAGCTGAGATGGTGCCACTGCACTCCAGCCTGGGAGACAGAGCCAAACTCCATCTCAGAAAGCGCTAGCAAATGCTGGAATGTTCAGCCAGGAGGCCCTGATGAGGCCAGAGACCTCTGCCCTGGCTGGGGAGGGGAAACTGCTCCAATCCAGGGACTGCCACGTGGGAGGGGACAGAGCATGCCCCCTACCCAGGGGTGAGGGAGAACTCACCTAAGATGTGTGCACGTTTTATTTATTTATTGAGACAGAGTCTCGCTGTCTCCCCCAGGCCTGGAGTGCAGGGGTGTGATCTTGGCTCGCTGCAGCCTCAAACTCCTGAGCTCGAGTGATCCTTCCACCTCCGCCCCAAGTCGCTGGGGCCACAGGTGTGCACCACCACACCCAGCTCATTTTTCTAACCGTTGTAGAGACAAGGTCTCACTATGTTGCCCGGCATGGTCTCAAACTCCTGGGCTCAAGCGATCTACCTACCTCGGCTTCCCCAAGGGTGCACATTGTAAAATTGTGATTTCATGTCTGGAGAATCAGCAACTAACCAGCCAGCCAGGTTGCTTTTATAAGCCAGATCCAAGAAAGCAAAGCTCGGCCCATCTTCTTGGCTGCTGGTACCACCCACAAGACGTGGTGATTTCAGCTCGGGACATGGAGGCGGGGTGTGGGGGAGTCTATTTGCCATTTTTGTTTGTCAGAAGGGGGCATGGGTTCTAGAAGGTTGCAAAATGCTGCCCCAGGTCGGGAAGGTTATTTTGGGTGCCTGTGGGGGAGGGGAAACGAAGTCCCATGACTTTTGCAGAACCTTGTCTGTGGAAGGTAGAGGTTGTGAAAGGGGCCCGTGGACCTGACTCGGTGAGAAGGTAGGTGTAGCTGGCTCCATCCAGTATTTGAGACATTTGGAATTTGCCAGTGTTTTAAAACGAGATCACACACACCCATCTGGATTTGGAGATTCTCTGGCAAACCTGCCCATCGAGCCGCCTGAGCCTGCGCTGACCCCTGGTGAAGCTGTGCGGGGGGCCGCCCTGCTCCCTTTTGCCACAGGCCTGCCTCTCCACTCCCTTTCGCCTGTCCCTGGCCTGCTGCACTCACTGATAGGAAATTCTGAGCCCAGACTTGGAGCAGCCTTCCTGTGCTTTGGTTTCTTGCTTCCGCAAAAAGGCCAAACGCTTTGGCCAGAGAGCCAGCTGTTCCTACCTCTAGCCCACGCTTCCAAGGCAACCTTCTCGGTTTATCTCAGACCGAGATAGTTCTTCGAGGGCATTTGTGCATTCTGATTTTCTCAGGAAGCCCCCGATGGAATCCTGGGCCGCTGAGACATCAATGCGCATAACTGTCTGGGTCCCTGCTGGGCTGGCCAGCCTGTCTGGACTCTTGTAAATTTGAGATTTAATTAAAGGAAACAAACCAAACTGAGCTATGGAACAATCTGAATAAAAGCATACACCCAGCTGGGCACCGTGGTTCATTCCAGTAAACCTAATGCTTTGAGAGGCTGAGGCAGGAGAATCACTTGAGCCAAAGAGTTTGAGATCAGCCTGGGCAACATAGCGAGACCCTATCTCTTTAAAAAAAAAAAATTATATATATATATATATATATATATATATATATATATATATGCTGGTATGCTGGGAGTGGTGGCTCACACCTGTAATCCCAGCACTTTGGGAAGCCGAGGTGGGCAGATCACTAAAGGTCAGGAGTTCCAGACCAGCCTGGTCAACATGGTGAAACCCTGTCTCTACTAAAAAGTACACAAATTAGCCAGGCATAGTGGTGGGCACCTGTAATCCCAGCTACTTGGGAGGCTGAGGCAGGAGAATCACCTGAACCTGGCAGGTGGAGGTTGCAGTGAGCCAAGACTGTGCCACTGCATTCCAGCTTGGGCAACTCAGAAGTAAAATTTAAAAGTAAAAAATTAGAGCTGGTCAGGGTGGCATGCACCTGTGGCCCCCAGCTATCTGGTAAGATGGCTTGCACCCAGGAGGTAGAGGCTGCAGTGAGCTGAGATCGCACCACTGCATTCCCGTCTGGGTGCTGGAGCAAGATCCAGTCTCAAAAAAAAAAAAAAGGCTGGGTGTGATGGCTAACGCCTGTAATCCCAGCACTCTGGGAGGTTAAGACGGGTGGATCACAAGGTCAGGAGTTCAAGACAAGCCTGGCCAAAACGATGAAACCCTGTATCTACTAAAAACAAACAAACAAACAAACAAACAAACAACTCCTGGGTGCAGTGGCTCATGTCTGTAATCCTAGCACTTTGGGAAGCCAAGGCAGGCAGATCACAAGGTCAGAAGTTCCAGACCAGTCTGGCCAATACAGTGAAACCCTGTCCCTAAGAAAAATACAAAAAATTTGCCGGGTGTGGTGTTGTGTGCCTGTAATCCCAGCTACTGGGAGGCTGAGGCATAAGAATTGCATGAACCTGGGAGGCGGATGTCACAATGAGCCGCGATCGCACCACTGCATTCCAGCCCTGGTGACAGTGTGAGACTCCATCTCAGAAAAATAAAAATAAAAATAAACCACTATAGCCAGACACCTGTATTCCCAGCTACTTGTGTGGCTGAGGCAGGAAAATTGCTTCAATGCGGGAGGTGGAGGTTGCAGTGAGCCGAGGTCGCGCCATTGCACTCCAGCCTAGGCGATAGAGCAAGACTCCGCCTCACAAGAGAGAGAGGAAAAAAAGCACACACATGCACACAGGGGGTCAGAGGGGAAGCTCCTCCGTGTCCCAAGAGGCCCTGATGGGTGCTGACACACCAGGCCACCCGGGGAAGCATCCTCATGACAGCCAGGGATCTGGAAGCTTCAGGGATTCCAGCTGACCAGGAATGAGGCCCCGCTCCTTGGCCAGGATCTGGGCAGTGGGCACTGTTTCCCACGCCTTTTCTGCACAGGACGCCCTGTGGAGCTTCAGAGTCGAGAGCTGGAAAGGCTCCCGGCCCTGGAGGCGTCCCCGGACCTCAGAACCCTGCCATTCTTGGTCTGGGGCCCTTCCTGCTGACGTGCTCGGCTGTCAAGCCTTTCCTCGCATGGTGGCACAGAGTGTGTAATGGGAAGTCAAGGTTGACTGGTTTTTTTTTTTGTTTTTTTTTTTTTTGTTTTTTTTCATTTATTTGAGACAGGATGTCGCTCTGTGGCCCAGGCTGGACTGCAGAGGCTCGATCTTGGCTCACTGCTGCCCTGGACTCCTCCTGGGTTCAAGAGATTCTCCTGCCTCAGGCTCAGGAGTAGCTGGGATTACAGGTGGGCACCATCATGCCTCGCTAATTTTAAAATTTTTCATTTTTTTAAAGAGATGGGGTTCTTGCTATGTTGCCCAAGCTGGTCTTGAACTCCTAGTGTGAAGCGATTCTCCCGGCTTAGCCTCTCAAAGTGCTGGGATTTAGAGGGGTAAACCACCTGTTTCTGTTTTTTAAAGTCACTGTGCTGCAACCCAGCTCCAAAAAACTAAGGACAAATGGCCACAGTGGCTCATGCCTCTAATCCCAGCACTTTGGGAGGCCGAGGCAGGCAGATCGCTTGAGCCCAGGAGTTTGAAGCCAGCCTGAGCGACATGGCAAAACCCCGTCTCTATCCAAAAGAGATATAGAAATTAGCCGGGCGTGGCGGCGCATGCCTGTAGTCCCGGCTACTTGGGAGGCTGAGGTGAGAGGATCGCCTGAGCCCAGGAGGTGGAGGTTGCAGTGAGCTGACTGTGTGTGCCACCGCACTCCAGCCTGGGTGACAGGGCAAGACCCTGTCTCAAAAGAAAAACTAAAGGAAACCAACGCCCCCAGGCTCCGGAGGGCAGGTTGGCGGTGTGAAGTCACAGCAGGTGCGGGGCCCAGGGACGGCAAGTGCCAAGGGGAAAGGGGGCAGGTTCACAGACAGCCACTTTGGGATCCAGCGCTTTGATGGCTGCAGAAAAGTCCCACCCAGAGACACCGCCACCCGCCCGCCCACAGTGGGGCGGTGTCAGCCACGTCTGCGCCCCCACCCTGCAACGCCCAACCAGGAGGGCCCAGGCTCTCGGGTTGCTTTTTAATGGTCTTGTTTATTTAAATATGAAAAAACATTTTCTCTCCTCCCAGTTCATCTGAAAGGAGGTCCCCTGGGCAAACACAGGAAGGCAGTCCTGCTGGCTCGTGAAGGGCGCTCGGCTGGGGGTTGGGGGAGCATGGCTGCTTTCCCCAGCTTGACCCCTGTGTTCCCACCCTCTTTGTTCCCCTGATCCTGAGTCCAGAAGAGCTCAGCAGGAAGGGGGAACGGGGAAGCTGTCGGGACCCAGCAAGGCTCTGGGCAAGCTGTTGTCTGCCCCAGGGCTTCAGCCGCCCTTCACACCCCTCCGGACAAGACAACGTCAACCCAGGCAGAAAACTGAGAATCCCTCCTAGAAAACCAGTGATGTGCCGGCCCTTTCAGTGCCCCAGGCCCCTTCAGCTTCAGTGGAGATGAGAAAGCGCCACCCACAGCAGGGCTGCTGGTCACAGCTCAGTGTGCGATGCCTTGGCCACGATCACCAGCTTGGACAGCTCAGACTTGAATGCCCCGGGCCTGTGAGCCACTGCAAGAAAGAAACACAAGGTTGGGCCCTCAATATTGAAAAATCTCAGAAGTCCTGAGGATTTGGAGTGGAGCCCATGGTGGGGGCACTGCAGAGAAGCGGAGCAGTCTCCAAAGCGGTCTCCCATGAGAAAAGGCCCTGGGCACTGAAAGTCTTACAGGTGACAGACAGAAAAATCAGTGGCATGGAGTGTGAGGTCAGTGGGGCTGACACAGATGGTGGGAAGTGGGAAGCCACAGGAAGACTTGAGGTGGGAAGAACCCTGGTCATCTGTGCCATGTTGTTG